GGGTCCTGATCCTAAAAAGTGAAAGATCTACAAATTCTATAATTATAATTAACCATTTTTAATCTGGCTATTTAACCAAATATATTATAATAATTTTTAAAAATTATGTGCTTTTGACAAGCTTAATCAATCTGATTAATGATGATCTTATACTGTTTTGTTTTAGATACAGAAACTAAAAAAAAATTGTTAACGATGTTATTTTAACATTGATCTAATATTGCTAAAATAATCTGACTTCGTAGCAAAATACTAAAGTCTAAGCATTAAGGTTGTAAGCACTAAGCACTGTATTGCATTGCATTTAAAAAGGAAAGTATAAATAATTTATTTTCATTTTAAAAAAAAATAATATGAAATAAAATAATAATAAAATAAAAAAAATATATATGATAATTTAATGTCTTGATTGTTTCCAAGAATGCCTACATTCTTGATATTCCAAATGATATTTATCATATCTTCTTTTTAAATAAGCTCTTCATATTAAGTCTAAATATAAATGTATAAAATAAATATGTATTTAAATAAACAAATAAAGAATTTAAGATGAGATATTACCTCTTAAAAGTCAGAATTCACTTTTTATCAATTCATAAAATTGAATGTCATATCTATTTGAAGATATAATATTTATTGTTCTTCTCGCTTCTCTTGTGTCTCTATTTATAATTCTTTTGATATTGTTATATCCTCTTATTAATGAATACCATTTATTTTAACATTGTCTTGCCAATATTTAGATATTATTTATTTCATTAATATTGATTGCAATTCTTTCCCATAAATCAGCATGGTCAGAATTTCTTGCATATTCAAAATTATTTTGGTATTGAGCTCTTAAATTTATCAAGTTTTCGCAAGTTTATAAATTCCAAAGATAAGTCATTTTTTATTTTGAAAAATTTGACGAACAAACCATTTATATTTATATTTTACAAAATCATCATTTTGAAATATTTTGAAACGTATTTATACATGTGATTAAAAACTTGGTTTTTGTTTTTATAGTTATACATGTAAAAAAATTGCTTCTGCGTAATTATATATTTGTTAGCTTTTAACCATGTTTAATATAAATAATATATATTGTTTAATCAATAATAATAAATTTCTATATCGGTAATAAATGTATTTGTCTGAAAAGTCTGAAGAATAAGAAAAAACAAGTATGGTATAGTGAGCTATGTATGTATGTATGGTTATGTATGTTATGTATACAGTACATCCTTTTGATATCATATGATACCATACTTGTTTCATAATACTGGAAAAGGAACATTTTTGATCAAAAAAAAATAATAGGAAATAAATTCGTTTTAAATGTCATTAATATATTTAATTAATTTATACAGTATTATCATTTTAATTAATGTGATCAAAAAAAAATTCATAATAAGGAAATATTTGTTTTAATGATTTTTCTTAATACAATAATTTTGATATGTATTATTATATTAATTAATGTGATTGAAAAAAAAAATTAATAATCTTCTTAAACAAAATTTGAATCATAATAAAAGAACTTAGAAAATAAAAGTATTATTTGAAAATATATAAATATACATGATATGATTCAATAAATTTATTCAAAAAAATCTTTCACTGTCTTCTCTGTCTTCTCTTACTTAAACTTTTCTAAACACAAATTTAATAATATCAAAATATGGCTGGAATGGTTTGGACTTTTGATGCCACGGAAGATTTAATAAATCTTTGTAATGAATATCACAAAGAATTCAAAAATACTCTGAATACTGAGCATGCTACCATTTGGGTTGAGATAGCAACTAAAATAAACAATATTCATCCAGCTCAAGTTACTGGCAGACAATGCCAAGTCAAATGGGTCACGCTGGTTTGTGGTTATGAGAATTCTAGAAGAATAAGGGTTAGAAATCCTAAAGGATTTCTGATAAGAAGTTCAAATCGATTTGATGTGATATTTTACCATATGATGAGGGATGAATTTTGGTTGCCGTTAGGTATTAATGATAGACTAATTTAAATTTATTATTTGTTTAAATAAAAATATATTTATATATATTAATTTATTAATTTATTTTAGATCAAATAAGACATGCATATTTGAGGCAACGAATAGACAAACAGCAATTTGAATTTAGAGAATACAAGCATTCTCAGGATTGATCAAGAAGTAGGGATCGATCTCAAGGGAGGGATAGAAGAAGGGATCGATCCCAAGGGAAGGATAGAAGAAGAAGAAGGAGAAGTTAAATTTTTATTATTTTTATTATATCATTTTTCATTTTCATTTTAGTATTTTATTTCTTTATTTTTAGTTTTATTATTTTTATTATTTTTATTTTATATATATTTTTTATTTTTAGTTTTAGTATTTTATTTTT